CCCAAATCCCCCCTCACAAATTCCCAAATCCCCCCTCAGAACTCCCAACCCTCCCCCAAACCCCGTTCCCCACCCCGGAGCCCCTCTCGGCCTCCCGGTACCTGCTGCGAATCCCGGGAAGCTCTGAGGCTCCAGGAATCCCGGGAAGCTCTGAGGCACCGGGAATCTCTGAGGCGCCGGGAATCCCGGGAAGCTCTGAGGCGCCGGGAAGCTCTGAGGCACCGGGAATCCCGGGAATGCTGCTGAGGGTGCCGCTTTACCCCCGCAGTCGGCGCTGGACGGATACCCGGTGTGCATCTTCGCCTACGGGCAGACGGGCAGCGGCAAAACCTTCACCATGGAGGGCCCGGAGCCGCCGGGAGCGCCGGAGTCGCGCGGGATGATCCCGCGGGCCGTGAGGCACCTGTTCCTGGGAGCCCGCGACCTGGCGGGGAAGGGCTGGCAGGTAATCCCCGGGCTGAGCCCGCCTCCCCCGGCCGCCCGGCTCCTCCCCCGGGCCGAGCGGCGGGATTTTAGGTGCGGTTAGTACCGTTTCTCCGCCAGCTTCCTGGAGATCTACAACGAGGCGCTGCGGGATCTGCTGCTGGCCAAAGGGGAGAGGGGATCCGAGCTGGAGATCCGGCGGCTGGCGCCCGGCAGCGAGGAGCTGCACGTGCCCAACCTCACCTGGGTGCCCGTGGAGAGCGAGGAGCAGGTGGGGAGCCGGGAATTGGAGGGGATTTGGGGGTTTTAGGGGGAAATTTGGGGGTTCTGAGGGGGGAAATTGGGGGTTCTGAGGGAGAAATGTGGAGCTGCAGGTGCCCAACCTCACCTGGGTGCCCGTGGAGAGCGAGGAGCAGGTGGGGAGCCGGGAATTGGAGGGGATTTGGGGGCTTTAGGGGGAAATTGGGGGTTCTGAGGGAGAAATGTGGAGCTGCAGGTGCCCAACCTCACCTGGGTGCCCGTGGAGAGCGAGGAGCAGGTGGGGAGCCGGGAATTGGAGGGGATTTGGGGGCTTTAGGGGGAAATTGGGGGTTCTGAGGGAGAAATGTGGAGCTGCAGGTGCCCAACCTCACCTGGGTGCCCGTGGAGAGCGAGGAGCAGGTGGGGAGCCGGGAATTGGGGGGGATTTGGGGGTTTTAGGGGGAAATTTAGGGATTTTAGGGGGAAGTTTGGGAGTTTTAAGGGAAAATTTTGAGGTTTTAGGGGGAAATTTGGAGG